GAGGGTGCGCTCTGTGCCTTCCTCCAGGTCGTTGATGAATACATTGAACAAGACTGGACCCAGTCCTGACCCCTGGGGGCCACTGCTAGCTACAGGCTAGTCCAGTATGGTGTAGTCTCCATGTGCGTGGCCTTTATTTTAATGCATGATCTCAGTGCAGGATCCTGTTCTCTATGCCTTTGACTTGAGTAGCACTGTTCTGGATTTGCACCATTTAATCTGGTCTTCCTGTTAATGTGATATCAACTGTTCAATGCAAGTCCACTTGCAGCTCAAACAAAGTACGTCTTGGCACAGTGCAGTTTTATTACAGCCATTGTTTAAAGTAAATGAGCATCTCTGAATACAAGTGTTCATATTAGCTCATGAGAGACATAATAATCAGCATTTTAAAGTATTTTTATTGGCTGTCCAAAATATTTTCCTAAGAACGATTGTAGCTTATATTTGCAGCTATTTGCTGTTCCAAATGTGATACAATGTAGGTTTTTCCTTTCTCTTTTTTTCTTTACAGTACTTCAATAGACTAAATGACACCCACAGTGATATGACTGGCAGTCTTGTGATACTGTTTTTATTCTGTTCCATTTGCCTGGTGCTTTGCCTACGTTTTTCTGTGCCAGCTCTGATAAAATGTGCTGCAACATTTCAAAGCCACCAACCTTTTTAATGAAATGGTCACAGTCGTTTAAAAGGGTGAACATTGAGAGCAATCAGTTTAGCTATTGGTTACACTTCCAAAGTATAACAGCAGAGCAGTCTTTTCCTTTTTGGGACATGTAATTTAAAAATGTGCAGCTATTTCTTTAAAAGGGAGGGTTATTGCTTTCACACTCATGGACAAAATAAGACACAAAGAGTAAATTGAAGGTGGATTTTGTAGGTGTGAGAAGTTGAATGGGAGGAGACTGTTTCTCTAGAACATAGTACTATGTGATTTAAACTTTAAATTCAATTTTGTGTTTATGTTACAATTTTAATAGCAGTAGTAGCATATGAACTTGTACAGACTGACATAAGCAAAGCTCTCAGTCCTTTGGGCTAGAGATCTTTCACAGAGGACCAAAATCTCCACTCCTGTCTGTTTATACCACTGAAACTGAAGACCAGACTCTTTATCAAATACCAGAAGTCATCCTCTCACTCAAACAACTAGAGGAATAAAGGTACCAGCTTAGTACGTAATATGAAATGCAAGTGAGCAGCTGACGCACCATAACCGCCATTGCTATATGCTATTGCATAATTGTCTTCTAGCAACCCTTTGGTTTGAACTTTGTTCTGAACTTTTATTTTATTCATATTTGCCAGGTAGCATCAACAAACATACATGTTATAGAGTGACTTCAATAAATTAATCGCAGCTTTTTTGGTTTTAAGCTTTGTTTCCAGTGAGTGCTAATAGGAATCATGCACTGTTTTTCTTTCTGGTGTTAATGATGTCATTTTTCATACTAACACATGATATATGAAGCTGCTATTAGAAGGTATCCAAATACGAAGCTATAAATAAGTCATGGTGCTGTTACATTTAGAGATACGTGCCACGATTTTTTCCTTTAGGAGGAGTTTGAAACAAAGGCAAAAATTCAGTGCATGTCAAAACTATTCACTGTATTTGAGATACTCAGAATCTGATTTTTCAGAGTTCTCAGCATTATATGTCACTTTGCGTTTCAAAGCACATCTTTCACTGATTTCAATTGCAAGTGAGCGTACTTAATATATCTGTAGACCAAACTGCAGTGTCTCAAGTCAAAGCACCAGTGAAATGTGGAATCTGAACTTACCTGTGTTAGGAAGGTGTTGCTGATTTGCCATCATCACACAGAAACGTAGAAAAGGAAAAGATGAAATCCAGTTCTGTATGTGTTTTCATCTGACCTGAGACTGGTCAGTCATCCCCTTCAGTATACATCTCTGCCAAAATCGCTGAATATTATCTGTCTGTCAGCTGAGGCAAGAGTTCTCTGGGAGAAAAAGTATGAGCATGTAACTTAAGTCCTTTATACAGTGAGGTCAAATTAAGCTGGCAGCCCTCGTTCTGGTATTTCCTAGCTTTTGAATGGATGTCTTTACAATTTGACTTTTAATGTGTGGCCTTTAACGTATAATTACAGTGATACCAGTGATACAGTTGAATCTGGATACCATTGTCTTGGTATAAAAGCACTTTACATGAACGTAACTATTGTTGTACAGGAAGGGGAGTGACCCAGACTGGTATAACTGAAGTTCACACTTGGGACTATATCAAGGCATCTGTTTGAATAAAAATCAAAATCCTTTAAGACTAGCTTTGTAAGTACAAAACCTATCTGTAGCCATGCCTAGGAGAGTAGAGCATGACAGCCTATGATTTAAGTGGATCCATAAGTTTATAACTATCTGAAGTATTTATAGAAAAAGAGGTGCAGTAGGAAAAAAGAGTTCATTCTGAGGGGAAAAAAGTGCTATATCTTTAAGGCAGATTTGGAAAAAGATAATGGAAAATTAGGACCGTCACAGGATGATCTAATCTTTCCCTTGCCCCCAGGTAGGATCAAATATATCAAGGTCATAACAAGTGTCTTCCTAAACAATTCTTAAAAACCACAGCTGGTGGAGACTTCACAGTCTACATAGGCAGCCTCTCTGCAGTGCTTCACCAGTCGTACTTCTAGAAAGTTGTTCCTAATAACTAATCTGAAATTTCTTTGCTGCAGTTGAAGGCTATTGCTCTCCTTGGCCTGTCCTCCTAGGCTCACTGAACAGCTTGTTCTGTTCTCAGTGGCACCCTCGGGTTTGCTGGTGCATCTTTTCCCTCTGCCATCTCTCCTTTGGGCTAAACAATCCGGTTATTGCACTGGTCTTCACCAGTGAGTCTTTCGAGGCGCTGGATCATTCTCCTTGCTCCCCTTTGGCTTCTCTTCATCCGTATCTCCCTTGAAGTACAATATCCAAAATTTCACACGCATCTTCAGGAGAAGCATTACCAGTCTGATTAGAGCACAAGGTTTACTTGTGTTTTGTAGACCAGTTTCCAGAATCCGAGAGAAATTAATTAGTTTGTGATTTCCCAATTCTCTTCTTTACCTTTGTTAAAAGATAGGCACTGTATTTGCCCTTCTTTGATTGTTTAGTGCTTTTCCTATCCTCCAGAAGTTCCCCAAAGGATCTACTAATATTATAATAATATAATTAGCTCTTTAAATAGCCTAAAATGAAGTTTGTTGGGCTGAGCTCATTTGAACTATTTATGTCCAAGATGACTAGTTAGAAAATAGCACTGTTCTGACCACTTGAAAGAATTCGCAGTCCGTTAGAATTTCAAGTTCAACAATCTTTTAAGATTCTCTGAGCAAAAATTCATATTAACAATTTAAAGCTATGAATTAATTTTAAGTGCAACCAGCAGCAGCAACTCTGGGACCTCTTATAAGGTTAGTTGTACCTATTTCAAAACAGCAAGCAACTGAATTTTCTGATTTAAGTCTTACTGAGAACATGCAGATGATTCTTCTCTTGAATTGCTGCAGCCAAATTCTTCTCCTTGAGTTGCCTTAGTGGTTTCAGTGTGATTCCTTGTGGAATAAGGTACTGTTCTGTCACACTGAAACCAGTGGGGTTACTTGCACAGTGACTGTGACTGTGATCAAGCCATTATTTATGGCATTAGTGAACTAGGAAAATGGAAACTTTTTATAAACTAGTATATGAGACATATGTTACTTCTTATGCTGTGGTTATAGGCATGGATGACTTAGAAGGGACTCTACCATCAGAGAACGCACAGATATTTTTATTTATTTTTACCTTTTTATCTCCAGGTACCAAGTTCCACCTTGATATTTTTCTGTTTTAAGTGCTTTAAGGAAAACCAAAAAAAAGCCATTGCTGCTTAATGCACTATGCTGTAGACCACGGCAGTTCATTTGTGAACCTAGCTGCCCTGTGTAGAGAGAGTAGATCTGAGAATTAGTAAAGAGCAAAGAGTTTTGGGGGAGAATCACCATCAGCTTCCATTGAAGTAAACAGTCCTTTTTCAGGAGCCAGAGCCCTAAATTTTCCTTCTTTTCCCTGGTGTCAATGAAGCTACATCAGAGCTGAGTTTGGCATGAGACTTTTCAACATGGTGAGATAGCATGGCATCATGCAAGTATTAACATGTTAGAAAAGATACAGAGTTTGTGAGAGTCTTCATCTTTTTGGAAGACATTTTAATACTTCACTCTATCTATCTGATCCTTTCATAACAAAACCTGCAGTCAAATTAAACTGCTTTATGAAGTTTCAGTTCTTCTTTCCAACCTGAAATTTTGGCCACATTTTCTGAAAAACACAAAGTGTGGGTTGAATTTTTTGCAGAACTGAGCTAACTTGAAAGGAAACTTAAATCATCCAAAAAACCCCAGGATTCCAGCTTAGAAAGATTTGACAGAACTTCACATTGATTTGAGTGTATTGGAGTTCAAAGTGAAGCCCAAAAGATATGACTCAAATCTTAAAAAAAAAAAAAAAAAAAGACAGAGCAAGGGCAGAGAGAATTGCTATGGCTTTGATTTAAGATATACTGTAGAATAATGTCAACAACTGATAAGGAAGACTTTTTAGCCCTGTGCTGAAGTTGCAGCAAAGAACTACTGATAGAGGTTGCAATGCTAGCTCTACTGTGAGCTTCTCATGTAACTAGGAGCTTATCCTTCCACAGCTACTAGGTTCACTTCCCTGCCTGTGACATGGAGTTTTATAGCCTTTCTCATCTCAAGGCATACTTTAAAACTGAGGACAGTGAAAGTGATTCCGATTTTTGTCAGACCATCCAGAGGATAAATTTTGGTCCTGTGTTGAAATACAGAGTAGGTAACAGCCACAATATCCGGCAAGCACATTCAAACCTTAAACTAAGCAGAAAAATATGGAAAACTGTAGTAGCAAAAGATTCTCTCTCAATGCAATTATAGCCTAGTTTAGCCTATAAAAGTAGTCTACTTCTTGTGTTTTTTATAATTTTGAAACATTGCTTTAGAAAAACGATTTTTTTTCTAAATCACATTAGCAACTTCTCATTCTTTTTTCCTACCGCAAAATAATAGTAGTTTATTTCAGATTAACTGATTCGCATAGCATAGCTAAAATAATTATTCTAACAATAAAATTTCTATTAGTGACAGTATGGGATAAAAAAGAATTGTAAAATGAGAGAGATAGAAAGAGAAGGCAGAGAGGATGATCAGAGAATAAGTATGTTTCCACAGTCTGTGAAAAAATATGCCGTTTGTTGTACTCTGGATAGCTAGTAGCAGACACATTGTTCTTTGCTTCTTTTTGTCACTCAAATCTAATTCGCTGCAATAATTATCATTTTCCTCCTTGTTATGATTTTTTTTTTACATAAAATATAATTTTTAGTTCATAAGCATAGTTATGTGTGTCGGCAAATAGCAAATATGGAGACACCCACCTGTCCAAAGGGGCACTTAAGTGAGCGAAAGCTGAGGGCAGGGAAAGCTGAAGGCAGCTTGAGGGTACTGTGTGAGGGTATTTAGGAAACAGGAGATGGAGGAGAGAACTGGCGACCAAGTTTCAGGAGACAGAGGATACACATTAGTAGGAGGCCAGAATCCTCTCGTTTTGCCACTCATTCAAACATTTAGTACGTGAATCTGTGAAAAAGTCTATTGTATACTTTTGTTCACTTGACCTGCGACAGTATTGTCAGTCTGATAGCTGCATTGCTGTTGCCTCCCTATTTTTAATGGAGGGTGAAAGTTGGAAAACTATGTATTATATACATAGTAAAGCAGCTTGCATTATGCATAGGAAATCCATAAAGCATAAAGTGGATGTTTCTGGGGAAAATTCTGCACCCCTTGAATTCCGTTGTTCCGTTGATGGGGAAAAGTTTTGGGTGATTTCTGTGAATTGTACTCCCCGTTACCACTTTTCCAGAGCCGTATCTATGGAGTTCATACATTCGTTCTCACTTTTGAACCGCCAGCTATATTTTTTCTTCTGAAGCATGAGCCTCTTATTTAGGGTATGTAATCACAACAGTACATTGAAACATGCTTGTTATATGACTAGTTCTTAAAAACTATGCCTCTTGAAGAAATCTGGGGAGATAGAATGGATGCAAAGAAGCTTTTATTGAGAAGAAAAAGCTTTAATTATTGAACAAATAGTAGTGAGTCATCTACTGGCCTTTATTTGATGAATTACACAATAACAGCCTGTTCCAAACAAACAAATTAATGGCATATCATCTCTTTTCAATTATATTTCTGCCCAGAAACAACCTTTCACAGGAGCAAGATGCCAATGTGTTAGTTTCACTTCTGTCATACTTTCTTTTTAATAAATGGATTAAAGTGTTTCTCTAAGAGAATGGGAATATAAAAATAGCTGAGACATAGCTATACCAGTTTGGAAGGAGAAAAATACTAAATCTAACTAGGACTGAGGAAACGCTGCCCTCATCTCTGCATCAGTATTACTAGAGAGAGAAGCTTCTGAAAATCATTATTTTTCCATTTCAGTATTCTTTCTTGTTTCCATAAAAACTAGCGATGCTTTTTGCAAACTACTGTCATTTTTCTCACGGAAACGTTGGAGTGCCTTTGTGAGAATGAAAAATGTTGGCAGGTGGCAAACGTGAGAACACTTGAATTTGGCTTCCAGGTTGAATTTTCATTTATGCTTCTGAGCAGAATAAATTAGCAAGGACTGAGGTTCATGCAGTTAGACTGTGACTACTCATTATGCTCTGTGATGACTTTATTACTGCAGCATGAATATATCTACCTTTGGAGTTTATCTGAGGTCCAGTAAGTCCAAGCCCTTATTGTCTGTGTGCTTTCCTCTATTTTTATGAGAAGAGTAAAAAACCTGCAGCTGCTTCTCTTGCTAGAAGCAGATAGTCTGCAGTTATTTGCTTTGAACACCGTATTCTGTCTGCACTCTGTTCATATATCCATCCTGAGCATGCTGTGGAGTAAAATCAAGGCTCCTTATCCAACTTCCGCAGCCTGCGCAAGATTCAGACGTGAGATTAGGCAGAGCTTGGAGCATTGTTTTTCTTTCTGGAGGCCTAGAACCCACTGGCACACGCATTTGAGCAATGCATATTTGCTTACCTCCCTTCAACATGTTTTATTCATGTTTGTTAAATACACTCTGTATCTGCCTAATGCATGCATGTTTGCTTTTTACTTTACAGCATTCTTCTTGATGAAGAGGGCCACATTAAGATAACAGGTACGTGAGGAACAAAAAACTTGATCTCTACAAGCAAACTGATTTTTCTGCAGTATGTTCCCTGCATCTTGGATTTTCCCTTGAAAAGAGTTTGCTTACAAGAAGTCAGAAGCCAGAAGAGTTTGAGTACTGTCGTTCTTTCCTCTGGCCACTAGTCAAGCACTCCTGTGCTGCACTGCATGTGGAGAAGAAAGTGTTTTGTTGGTAAAATTGGGCTCTTGACTGACTTGAAGCTTGCAGGCTTGGCTGCCTACAACCATGGATGGAAGGATGCTTCCAGTACGACTCCTTATGTCAGATTAATTTCTCTGAATTACTACTGTTTCAAGGACTCTTGTGAAGATGTCTCTTTGCCGCATTGGAGATGCTGTCTAGCGCTCCTTTTCACAGTTGTCCACCTGAGATTATTATTTTAATGCTGCGGTAGCCTGAGCAAGAATCTTTGTTACCATTTCTTCACCAAATCTGAACTGTGAACTTCTGCTTATTTAAACTCTCACTTCTGCTTTGGGCCAGAATGGAGAAAGGACCTGCTTTCAGGACACAGTCACAACTGCCAGCCAGGCACTCCGTGCGGCCAGGGCTTCTGTGCTCATGCGCCTGTTGTGCCCTTTCTGTGCACAAAAGCTGCACATAGACCAGAGAGTGCTTCATAGGCTGTTTGGTGTGCTCTTCTTCTCTAATCGTGTTTTGTTTGCGCTGTTTAAATGTATGAGAATGATAATAATCTTTTTTTCCTAGACCTGACAAGTTTTTTTGTTTGTTTGTTTCAATTTATTTAGATTTTGGTCTGAGTAAAGAAGCCATCGACCATGACAAGAGAGCATATTCGTTCTGTGGGACAATAGAGTATATGGCCCCAGAGGTGGTCAACCGACGAGGACACACACAGAGCGCAGACTGGTGGTCTTTTGGTGTACTCATGGTAATGAAGAACTTGTATTGGTTTGGGGCGAGAGGCTGTAAAAGTGGTCAGATATCTCAGATAAATAAGTACTGCTTTCAACAATTAAAGGTGGGTAGGAAAGTAAACGGTTAATGATTGCTTGAGCATTTTCAGTGCATCAGCAGTAGGATACTGCCTGGTGAAGACAATATCTGAGGTAACATTTGGCCATGGTTCTTCTCTCTTCCTTATCAGAGTTCTTTCAGTAGATTGTTGTTTCAGTTGGTTATCAAAAGCCGTGAATATTTCTGTTCCAAGGAAATTAGCAGGGCAACCTCAGAAGAGTACAAACATTGGAGAACAAACAGCTACCTGTTAGTAGCAAGGTTCCTGTTGGTAAACAGTTCCTCAGATAGCAGTTTTCAGAGGTCGAGGACATCCACATAGAGAAACTCAAAGGTTGACTCTTTCTTCTGCAAAATATAATTGAAAATGACATATTTTGGAGGGCATTCTGAATGCTTCAGTGTACCTCAGAGGTTCTTTTGCCATGCATCTGTCATCTTCATGTCAGCCTCAGTGACTCTTGTGCAACTAATGAGATTCAGTAGCTTTCAACTATCCGACGACAGTGGATTTCCTGTCAGTCTTCTTGGTGGGTGGGAGCCTGTTACTCAAGAACCTTTGGTGTTTTTCCCTGTGGGAAAGGAAAACATACGTTTGTGGGCACCAGGTCATCCTCCTTTCTTCTCTACCATTTTGCTATTTCTTGATTATGACTGCGTTTGGATGTTTGCTTTGTCTTGAGTTCATCCTGAAGCTGCTTTAAAATGAGGATTGCA